GGGAGATTCAGGCTGTTGCGGTGAAGAGGGAGCAGCGTCTGCAATCAGAGCTAAGTCGAAAAGCAAAGCTCTCAATTCACCTGTCGATCTTTGATCCCTCCCTCTCCTCTGATCCTGAGTTTTGGGTCATGACCAAAAGGACGAAATTGCAGATACAAGCTCCTCATGAGAGTGGGCGTATAGAGGAGCTCAGAGTAGAGCTGTTTTTCCCTGGCGAGTGGCTTTGGCATTCAGACATGTGCCATTGGGAGGAGACCAGGGCAATGTACATATATTTTCTCCTAAGATGAAGACAGCATTTTGTGTTCCCAGCTTTAAAGATTTCTGCTGTTTTATTATTGATATATTTTAAAAAGGCCACATTTAATCTGAGGTTTGGTGAAATGCAAACAAATATTTATGAGTTTGAAGCAGAAACACATGGAGGTGGTGCAGAGGATCACAGTCAGAGAGACGAGCAGCTGCTCAGAGGATTCATCCTCGTCCTGAAGTCTCCAAGTCTCCAGAGTGTCGTAAATCCTCCCCCAGCAGCGGCACACGCCGGGCCCCAGGGGAGAGAGGAGGGGAGAGATGGGAGAGAGGGCAGAGGAGAGAGGGGAGAGAGGGGAGGGGAGAGAGGGGAGAGGGGAGAGAGGGGAGAGAGAGGAGAGAGGGCAGAGGAGAGAGGGGAGAGAGGGGAGGGGAGAGAGGGGAGAGGGGAGAGAGAGGACAGCGGAGAGAGGAGGGGATGGGAAGAGGGTATAGGGAGAGAGGGGAGAAAGGTGGGGAGTGAGGAGAGAAGAGGGGACAGGGGAGAGAGGAGAGAGAGGAGAGGGGAGAGAGGAGGAGACAGGGGAGGGCAGAGGGGTAAGGGGTGTGAGGAGAGAGGGGATGAGAGGCCTGCAGGGGAAAGAGGAAGAAACACTCAAAAGAAAACAAAACAAGAGGGAACAAAGTGAGAAACTGTGGGGGGCCCATATCAGAGAGGAATCCGCTCTCACAGAAGAACAGGCTCTGGACCCAGGACTGAGGCTCTAGACCCAGGACTGAGGCTGTAGACCCAGGACTGAGGCTGTAGATCCAGGACTGAGGCTGTAGACCCAGGACTGAGGCTGTAGATCCAGGACTGAGGCTGTAGACCCAGGACTGAGGCTGTAGATCCAGGACTGAGGCTGTAGACCCAGGACTGAGGCTGTAGATCCAGGACTGAGGCTGTAGATCCAGAACTGAGGCTGTAGATCCAGGACTGAGGCTGTAGACACAGGACTGAGGCTGTAGACCCAGGACTGAGGCTGTAGATCCAGGACTGAGGCTGTAGATCCAGGACTGAGGCTGTAGATCCAGGACTGAGGCTGTAGATCCAGGACTGAGGCTGTAGACCCAGGACTGAGGCTGTAGATCCAGGACGGAGGCTGTAGACCCAGGACTGAGACTGTAGACCCAGGACTGAGACTGTAGATCCAGGACTGAGGCTGTAGATCCAGGACTGAGACTCTAGACCCAGGACTGAGGCTGTAGATCCAGGACTGAGACTGTAGATCCAGGACTGAGACTGTAGCTTCAGGAGTGAGACTGTAGACCCAGGACTGAGGCTGTAAATCTGTTTATTAAAGAGTCACAGGGGTCAGAGATGATCATATTGTAGAAAACAGAAACAAGTTATTTCTTCTTCTTCTTTCACATACTATAAATGAAACACATGGTTAAATGACCTTTGACCCCTCAGCAGGAAAAATCTCCAGAAAACAGATAGAGTGAGCGTCTTCATCATCGCAGATCGGGTCAGGAGCAGTTGTTCACATCCAAATACATGTCAAATATTTGTTTCTCTGATTCTTATCTCCTGCACTTAAATGCATCCGTCTCAGACTCATCCGTTTTATTGACAACACGAGACAAACACAAGCAGCTACACGTCCTCACAGCGTTTGGGGAAATGGGACTGACGCCTCCATCGCCATGTGGGGGTTTGGCTCGGTCCATGGCTCAGTCCGGGTCATTTATCTGTTCAAAAGAAATCACACTCTGTTCTATTCTGTGGTGTATCGTGATGCGTTCAAGGGCATCTCGTAACTTTGCCTTTAGAGCGGGCTTTGTAAATACATCGTCTGTCATATCACTTTGGTAAAATCACACATCTTTAATGCTGTTCTTGCTTTTGGAGGGAGAGGGACCAGAGAGACCAGAGGGAGACCAGAGAGCGACCAGAGAGGCCATAGAGAGAGAAAACAGAGGGAGAGAGAGAGAACAGAGAGAGAGAGACCAGAGAGACAATAGAGAGAGACCAGAGAGAGAGAGAACAGAGAGAGGGAGAGAGAACAGAGAGAGGGAGAGACCAGAGACAGACCAGAGAGAGAGACCAGAGAAAGACCAGAGAGAGACCAGAGAGAGACCAGAGAGAGACTAGAGGAAGACCAGAGAGAGACCAGAGAGACAATAGAGAGACGCCAGAGAGAGATACCAGAGAAAGACCAGAGAAAGACCAGAGAAAGACCAGAGAAAGACCAGAGAAAGACCAGAGAGAGACCAGAGAGAGACCAGAGAGAGACCAGAGAGAGACTAGAGGAAGACCAGAGAGAGACCAGAGAGACAATAGAGAGACACCAGAGAGAGATACCAGAGAAAGACCAGAGAAAGACCAAAGACCAGAGAGAGACCAGAGAGAGAGTAGAGAGAGAGAGACAATGATCAAATGAGTGAGTGGAAACATACACTGTATGTGTCCAAATACATACATTTCTAATATGAGCATGGCCTTTCCTTGGGCTCTTAAATGCATCTGCTCTCCTGGTCTCAGTAGGATCCAGTTTAGGTGGAAAGGCAGTAGAGAAGGTGTAACAGATCGGGGGGGGGGACAATCCGGTTTAGTCTTTTCAAAACGTCCTCAGCGTCTGTTCTTCTGACTGAAGCCGGAGTAATTAGCGAAACAGAAGTGTGTCCTTGTTTTGACACTTAACACCAGCTAATTATTGACCGGTTTAAACTGCTCATAGATTAACAATCGCCCATAAAGCAGCGTCCACAGAGAGCTGGGGCCAGACGGCAGGTCCCCGGAGTGCGCCGCTGTCTCACCCCTCATTAGCGTGTGTGTGTGTGTGTGTGTGTGCGTGTGTGTAGATGCCTCAATGCTGTTTTGTACGACTACTGCTGATGAAGCCAAAGCCATCCGTCATCCTGGACCCCTCCCCTCTCCTCCCTCCCTCCCTCCCTCAACCCACCTCCCTCCTCAGGACCTGCTCCAGACCTCCGCAGAGAGAAGCCCCCGGAGCAGCGCACACATGTCCACACAAACATATTCATTCACATTAGTTTTGCTGATACACACTCTGTGCACAGTGACGGATGACAGGATGTAAGTTTGAGAAACTCCGGCGATTACAGACGACCCGGTGATCGTTCCAAACGCAAGCAAAAATCTTAATCCTTGAGAACTTTCGATACAGTTTATTCTTGTGTAGCCCTAAATCACAAGAGTAGTTATCTCGGAGGAAGCTGACGATTCGCCAACACGGATCAGAGAATCAAACTGTTCAAACACAAGAAGTGCAACGGTGAAAAAACACACAGAGCAATTGGTTCATAAGGGGCAGAGACCAATGTCCAAAAATGTTAACCCTGTAGGCGCCACGGTTGACTTGAGTTTGCGGTATTGTTTGAAGCGACCGATTGGGTGTCAAAATTCATTAAAACTTCGGCCGCATAATGGTTTGCACGATTTTACCGTGTCCCAAACCCTTGAGTATAGTACAGCGTGAGTTGTGTCAATATGTGCATGTCCTAGTGATCTGTGTCTATCAGTAAAGAAAAAAATGAAAAATGAAAATCTGCAATTGCCACGCCCCTATGACATCATGATATGTAAATTAGACGGGTACTTCAAATTCCTACATACACTTTGGGCCCTCCTTAAAATTTCTCTAATTTACATAAAGCCACTATCTCTTATCAGTTTTAAGTTATTAAGAAATTAAGATGTCAAAATTGAGCTTCTTAGGAAAACAATTCTGGTGCCTATGGTTGATAAATGTCTGTAAATGTGGTTGAATGTGGAGTGTCCTGGATCATCCCCACTGTCCTTAGACCCTCGTGCCGGATTTAGCTGGTATAAAATGGTCACTTGTAGCTCCTATTTGCTCGTTGTGAGAGGTTCAAAATAATATCCGAGAGATTGAGGAAATAAAACTGCATTTGCAAGGACTTCCATGAAACAGAAGTGTGCCTATATATGTGGTGCTTGATTATAGAATCCTCAGAGAAATGTTGTTTAAAAAAAAGATGAATATGAAGAAAAAAATAAGTGTAAAGTAGGTTTGTTCTTAATGCACATTAGACAAAACATAAAAAAAGGATGGTAACGGGTGAAAATATTTTAAGCGTCTTTGGGAAACCAGCAAAACGAGGGACAGGATTATTTTTGTTTCCTTGCATCTGTAATAACCATAGACTGGAGTAACCGTAGACCAGGGATGTTAAAGTCAAATACATCAGATAAACAAATTTGCTACAAGCCGAGGGCCGGACTGGTTCAATGTTTATTGAAACATATTAAAATGTTTGCATGTAAACTATTGAACCAAGACCTAACACAGTGGACCGTATTTTATTTAATGACTAAATTAATAATCCAATATTTTTGTGTGTCTCTGTCAGTAATTTCAAGTTAAAACATTTTTCAACAGGTTAACAGACAAAAACAATCATCAAAACCCATTGAATGAATAATCCGATATTTTATTTTGGCTCTGTGCGGCCGCTTCAAATATGAATCAAATACGAATCAAATATCATCCTGGGGAGTAAGATACTTCATTTGTGGGCTGGTTTTGGCCATAGACTTTAATAAGTCATCACAGCTTGCAATCAGAATTGTTCAGTTATTTGCCATAGAAGGTCTGCTGGCTGCAGGTCTTTGGAAGTTAAAATCTGGTGTTACGTATTCTGACAAGCAAAAACAATCAATGTTTTCCAAGTTTAAAGGACCAAACTAGTCACAATCTACTGAAAATTAGATCATAATCAAATCACATTAGGGGAGACCTCCAGGAGACCCCAAGAGCCCGAGGGTCCATGCCCATCTCGGAGCAGGCTCTGTGGGCATCATTAGCCTCGTGTCGCCCCTGACCTGGAGGTCCCAGCCCAGGCCTGACCCTCCGGACGACCACCGCTCTCACCCCAATCACATTATGTGCTGACCAGCGGCTTAATGAGCACAGACCACTGGAGCCATGGGACTGACAGAAGGACGAGTGAAGCCGATTGTAGTAGTAGTAGTAGTAGTAGTAGTAAGAGTAATAGTAGTAGTAGTAGTAACCAACCACCTGTGAATCAAGCTTTTTTACATAGTCCAATAATATTTTTCTTCAACTTTCTGTCACAAACCGAGACTTAACTGATATAAATCTACAGTATTATTTTTATTTAGGCTAGATTACTTCAGAGAGATTGACGTTCCATCAATGCAATCTCACTCCGGGCTGGTGGGGGTGTACCCGGAAAGAGAATTACCCAATATTTGGATATGGCGTCTTCTTTCTTCCTGAAAACTTCTTTACAGGATGGTCCAAAAGTCGGCTCTTGGCCCAACGCAACGTTATTTTGGAGCAGTCTAGTTAGTCGCTGTGGACTTTTGAATGAATGGGGACTCGTTAAATGAATGGGGCTAGTGCCGGCATGCGCAATTTGTGTTATTTCACATTTTCCTGCCCCTCTGCCATTTTGAAAAAGCCCATAAAAGAAAAGGCAAAAGTGGTGGCACATTAGTTTAAACGGCGGAGCGAGGCGTAACTATGTCCATTAACATTAACAGTCAATGGCTAGCACATGGATGTTTTGACTGAAATCAGAAATCTACCAAATTCAAACCAGATCAAGGGAAATTTAGAACAGGAAAAATGTAAATAAAATCTATATTGTGAGCACTTCTCCTTTGCCGAGATAATCCACCCCACCACAGCATGATATTGCCACTGTACTGCAGCGACAGGCAGCCCTTCTGAAGCCACATCTGCCTCGTTGACGCCCTGTGTTCTGCTTGGACACTTGGAACCGTAAATCTCACTAATTGAGCCGGTTGTCCGAGCGTCTGACTGTAAATGAAGCGTGTTAGTATCTGGAGGCGCATCGTTATCCTCAGCCTGTGTCTAAAGCACTCGTTCGTCACAGAGACAAAGAGCAGCAGCAGCAGCAGCAGTAACAGCAGCAGTAACAGCAGCAGTAACAGCAGCAGTAACAGCAGCTGGCAGTGTGTTTGCGATCAACAGTTCACCCTTCTTAGTTCCAACTATACATTTGTCTTTACACTGAGTTTCTCATTAACACCACACCGACTGTGAAGCATGGGGGTGGAAACACTATGGTTTGGGGGCTGGCTTTCTGGCAGGGGGAAAGGTTGACTGGGTCAAAACAATGGTCCCAAACACGGGTCACTCAGAACTATGTGACTGACTTTGAATGCGCTGGAAACGGCAGCAAGTCCTAAGTGTCTCTGAAAAAGGTGTTGTTTTGTGTTTTACAATAGTTATTTTTCTTGTTTTTTTTCCTGCCTGAGATGTTGCTGCAGTACAGTGTTTGTGATTTTGCACTGGTCCAGACCGGAGCAGAGAGAATTCATGGCCTTAAACAAGCGGATCTGGCAACAATCCGTTGGAGGAATGATAACTTTTTGAAAAATGCTAACAAAGCATTAAGTATTTTACTTTGGACTAGAGCAGAGAAAATGGTCCAAACCAAGCGGCTCCACCTCTCCTGCTGTGACCTAAAGAGCTGTTGCATTTTAAAATCTGATGTTAGCTATTTTTAGAATTTTCTATTTATTTGTTTTGTTTGTGTGGATGGATGTGTCGATAAAGTCAATCAATAATGTATCTATCTATCTGTCTATCTGACGGCAGGAGAGCAGGGACCAGAATCAAATCCAGGTTTAAACAGTTTAAATTAAAATTCAAGTATAACATGCCATAGTCGCCTATTTCCATCAAATGCTTCCAATAGACATAGTTGAAAATCATTTCAGGGGCCACTACAATTGTACTTGTGGGACCCTCAGACACATACACTAAGGCTGAGGCTCTGAATCATGTTTCATAACAGAAAACTTTTCACTGTTGGATGAAGTGTATTCAATTTGACTTGTCAGCATGCGTGTGTGTGTGTGTGTGTGTGCGCGTGTGTGTGTGTGCGTGTGTGTTTTGTGTGTGTGTGTGTGACAGACACTTTAAATGGGGCTAATATCAACAGCTGTGTGAGTCTAGACTCTGGCAGTTCTCCAAAAACATCTGAGGATTAGCAGCACACTCCCCAGACACACAGCCCTGTTAGAAAAACTACTGCTGCTGCTACTACTGCTACTACTGCTGCTACTGCTGCTGCTACTACTGCTGCTACTGCTGCTACTGCTGCTGCTACTACTGCTGCTACTGCTGGTGCAACTACTGCTGCTACTGCTGCTGCTACTACTGCTGCTACTGCTGCTGCTGCTGCTACTGCTACTACTGCTGCTACTGCTGCTGCTACTACTGCTGCTACTGCTGCTGCTACTACTGCTGCTACTGCTGCTGCTACTGCTACTACTGCTGCTACTACTGCTGCTACTACTGCTGCTACTGCTGCTGCTACTACTGCTGCTACTGCTGCTGCTACTGCTGCTGCTGCTACTACTGCTGCTACTACAGCTACTACAGCTACTACTGCTGCTGCTGCTGCTGCTACTACTGCTGCTGCTGCTACTGCTGCTACTACAGCTACTACTGCTGCTGCTGCTACTACTACGGCTACTACTGCTGGTGCTACTACTGCTGTTGCTGCTACTGCTGCTGCTGCTACTGCTGCTGCCGTTACTGCTGCTGCTACTACTACTGCTGCTGCTACTACGGCTACTACTTCTGCTACTACTACTGCTACTTCTGCTACTGCTACTGCTGCTGCTACTGCTGCTGCCGCTGCTGCTGCTGCTACTGCTGCTGCTACTGCTACTGCTGCTGCTACTGCTGCTGCTACTGCTGCTGCTACTGCTGCTGCTGCTGCTGCTGCTACTGCTACTGCTACTACTTTGTGTTTGTGTGTGTGTCTGTACAGTATGTGTGTGTATCCATACAGTGTGTGTGTGTGTTTCTGTACTGTGTGTGTGTATGTGTGTGTATCCATACAGTGTGTGTTTCTGTACTGTGTGTGTGTGTGTTTCTATACAGTGTGTGTGTGTTTCTGTACTATGTGTGTGTACAGTGTGTGTGTGTGTCTGTACATGTGTGTTTCTGTACAGTGTGTGTGTGTATACAATATGTTCTTGTCTGTACAGTATGAGTGTTTCCGTACAGTGTGTGTGTGATTCTGTTCTCTGTGAGTTTGCGTGCAATGTGCGTGTTTGTACATGTGTGTTTCCGTACAGTGTGTGTGTGTGTGTGTCTGTGCAGTGTGTCTGTCTGTGTGTGTGTTTCCGTACAGTGTGTGTGTATCTGCCTGTGTGTGTGTTTCCGTACAGTGTGTGTGTATGTGTGTGTGTGTGTGTACATGTGTGTTTCCGTACAGTGTTGGTGTGTGTCTGTACAGTGTGTGTCTGCCTGTCTGTGTGTTTCCGTACAGTGTGTGTGTGTGTCTGTGCAGTGTGTCTGTCTGTGTGTGTGTTTCCGTACAGTGTGTGTGTGTCTGCCTGTGTGTGTGTTTCCGTACAATGTGTGTGTGTGTGTACATGTGTGTTTCCGTACAGTGTTGGTGTGTGTCTGCCTGTCTGTGTGTTTCCGTACAGTGTGTGTGTCTGTGCAGTGTGTCTGTCTGTGTGCGTGTTTCTGTACAGTGTGTGTGTGTGTCTGCCTGTGTGTGTGTTTCCGTACAGTGTGTGTGTGTGTGTGTGTGTGTGTACATGTGTGTTTCCGTACAGTGTTGGTGTGTGTCTGTACAGTGTTTGTCTATCTGTGTGTTTCCGTACAGTGTTGGTGTGTGTCTGTACAGTGTGTGTCTGCCTGTGTGTGTGTTTCCGTACAGTGTGTGTGTGTGTGTGTGTTTCCGTACAGTGTTGGTGTGTGTCTGTACAGTGTGTGTCTGCCTGTCTGTGTGTTTCCGTACAGTGTGTGTGTATCCGGCTCTGGGACAGGATTTGGGGGGGGGGTCCATTAAAGACTTCCGACTGTGGTGTTGCATCGTCCCACTCACTTCCAGAGCTTTGAAGAGGCTTAGCTCCTCTGCTCCAGACCACAGCGAGACCGCAGACTCCTCACTGATGGTTTAAAGCTGGGGGACCTAACTTTCAACACACTAAAACCTGTGTCCGGAGTGACAAAGAGAGGACCACCCGCTCTCAGCCAATCAGCTCTCAGCCCCAACAGTCAAATAGTGACTCACAGGGATCTTTCTTAGATAAAGACCTCAGTACTTCAGCTTTAAAATGTACGTATTGTTTGTGAGAGGAAACGGAGGTAAATCAGTGTGTGTCGTCCCTCTGTGTGTGAGCGTGCACGTGGGAGTGTGAGTGTGCACGTGGGAGTGTGAGCGTGCACGTGGGAGTGCGCACGTGTCCGGTCTGTTTTCGTTCAAGATCAGAGGAAAAGGAAACCACAGGAAACAAGCGGAAAGGAAGTGACACAAACAGGAAGTACCAATACTACTACTACTACTGCTGCTACTTCTACTGCTACTGCTACTGCTACTACTTCTAATGGTACTACTACTATTACTACTGCTGCTACTTCTACTGCTACTGCTACTGCTACTACTTCTAATGGTACTACTACTACTTCTAATGGTACTACTTCTACTACTACTGCTACTACTTCTAATGGTACTACTTCTACTACTTCTAATGGTACTACTACTGCTACTACTTCTAATGGTACTACTTCTACTACTTCTAATGGTACTACTTCTACTACTTCTAATGGTACTACTTCTACTGCTACTTCTAATGGTACTACTTCTACTACTACTTCTAATGGTACTACTACTACTACTCACATGAAACTCTTATGGTGCTTTCACACCGGATCATGCGTTGCGTCGACTTTCAATGCAAAGTCAATGGTGACATGTACAGTATGTGCATCTCGGGATGCACACACGGACTGCGCGGCAAAGGTGCAGGAGCGGAAAATCGATGCACGCAGGAGGAAAATATCGCTGAGCGTTTCCTCAGGACGCTCGTGCAGCGACCAATCAGAGAGCCGCAAAGTGGTCACGGGGACATTAGTGGTCTGAGCGAGCAGACTGAAAATACTGTGAACAGCCAAAACAGGAGCCACACCAGGACTAAACCAGGGTTGACAATGGGGGACACAGTGTTTGTTAACATGTGAGTTTTCATGCTCCTGTGACTGTGTACAACTCCTTCCAGCGTGTTCACCAATGTGGAAGTACAGTTTAATAATAAAATAACCGTATAGCACACCTCCGTGAACACATACTGCTGTTATATAAATTCTTTGGAAGGTCTCAAGACAGAGAGACGCTGCAGAGCTGCATTATTGGAGAAGAACTTTGCGCAAAAAGCCGCTAGCTTAACTCTGTTAGCATCAAAGTCCGCCCCCTACTTCCGCCACTTCCAGCGGGCGCCACCGCAGCAGGACTTTTGGTCTGAAGACCCCCGCGTCTGAAAATTAGAGAATATGCGTCTGGTGTGCGAGGCGTCAGCGGTGTGAAAGCACCTTTAGAACCTTTGAGTAAATATTAATTATGGGAAAATTACACCAATTCTCCGGAGCTTGTGTCGCTCTTTCCGAAGCAAGTTGCTTCGAAACACTGCAGTGGAGCGTGTATCAAAACAACCGGTCACATGACAAACGTCTCAGTGTCTCGGACTCTGCAGCTGCTGCTTCACTGCTTCACTGCGCACATCAACAGTGTTGGTGTCGAAGAGTTTCTTTGGCTCAATGTGTTTCCTGACTTCTCATTGGATCATGGAAGAGTTACATCTGGCTTCCTTGGTGTGACTGCTGATGCGTCAACTGTTGTTTTTGAATAAAACACCTGTGATGTACGCATAGAGTGCAGTCCTTTTTTTCTGTAAATTGTTTTTATATTTAAATATAGGATTCCTTGAAAAATGGGCATATTGCTGTATGGTTCTGTAAAGTACAGTACGGGAGTATTAAGAGATTGTTATAGTTTTATCATTGTTATAGTTTTATATAGAATAGTTTATTTCATAAATCATATCTTTTCCTAAATGTATTTAGTAAGAAATAAATAAATACAATTTTGCTTGTATTTTATTGTTATTATATCAAATGAAAGGGGGGGTTAATCTGGCCTATGGGGGGTTAAAATAGCCTAGGCCAGTTTATACCCCGGGGTCTATTCTGGTCTAGACTATTTTAAACTGGCCTGCTACACCGGGCGCTGCATCACAGCAACCACTGCTCCTGATAGACACCCCAGTAGCATCAGGATGGTTCAAATGTAGGGGATGAATCTACCAATGGGGACGATAGAGTTTAACATACTACTACAAGTACTGCTTCTACTAATGCAGCTACTACTAGTTTTTGAGTGAGAACAAAGCTACTACTACTCCTACTACTACTAAAGAATACAGATTTGAACAGTGAAAAGTTGCTTGTTGTTCGGCAGCAGGAGTTCAGCGGTGACACATGGAGCTGTCTGGGCTGTGGTCTCCTTTAAGTGGTCAGTGAACTCCCATCACCATGACAGTACACACACACACACACACATACGCGCACGCACCCACACACACACACACACACACACACACACACACCCTCACACAGACCCCCATAAAGAACCCACTCGTCAGGAAGTTTCCACCACCATTACCTGAAGCTTTTCCCGTCTCAGTGAGAACTTTTACAGAGCTGTAGTGTAAACCTGGGTCTTTCACCTCATCCGGTTTATGATAGTTCAGTAAGGGGTTCTCATTTCATCAGGGTTCTCGTCTCATCAGGGTTCTCATCTCATCAGGGTTCTCGTCTCTTTGGGGTTCTCGTCTCATCAGGGTTCTCATTTCATCTGGGTTCTTGTCTCATCAGGGTTCTTATCTCATCAGGGTTCTCGTCTCTTTGGGGTTCTCGTCTCATCAGGGTTCTCATTTCATGTGGGTTCTCGTCTCATCAGGGTTCTCGTCTCATCAGGGTTCTCATCAGGGTTGTCGTCTCTTTGGGGTTCTCGTCTCATCAGGGTTCTCATTTCATGTGGGTTCTCGTCTCATCAGTGTTCTCATCTCATCAGGGTTCTCGTATCTTTGGGGTTCTCGTCTCATCTGGGTTCTCGTCTCATCAGGGTTCTTGTCTCATCTGGGTTCTTGTCTCATCTGGGTTCTCGTCTCATCTGGGTTCTCGCCTCATCAGGGTTCTCGTCTCTTTGGGGTTCTCGTCTCTTTGGGGTTCTCGTCTCATCTGGGTTCTTGTCTCATCTGGGTTCTCGTCTCATCTGGGTTCTTGTCTCATCTGGGTTCTTGTCTCATCTGGGTTCTCGTCTCATCTGGGTTCTCGCCTCATCTGGGTTCTCGTCTCTTTGGGGTTCTCGTCTCATCAGGGTTCTCGTCTCTTTGGGGTTCTCGTCTCATCAGGGTTCTCGTAAAGCTTCTGTAGCACCATCAGGGCCCCTCCCTCAAACTCACCAAAACGTTTGTTTGTGTGGACTCTGGTTTGTTCTTTGGATTATTATTGTGCAAATGTTGATGTAATGTTTGGAATAAGGTTAGATTAGTCGACAGAAGCAGCTACAAAAGCTTTAGGCTCCATTCACACGTTAAGGCACAGCCGGGAAAGTTTATCTGTATAACACAGTTCATAACAAGCCAACTCCAAGATAGAATAATCACAGAACATGACAAAAGAATGGAGATCCCTCAATTGTAGCACAGTTAAATAAAACGGTTTTTAACTTGGATTTAAACATTGTCAGAGAGGAAGTCTGTCTCACTTTTTCTGGAAGACTGTTCCAGATTTTAGCTGCAGGAATCTGAAACGCTGCCTCCCCATGTTTAGTCCTGATTCTGGGACCAGCAGGAGTCCAGTCCCTGTGCTCCTCAGAGTCCCAGCAGGAGGCCAGTCCCTGTGCTCCTCAGAGTCCCAGCAGGAGGCCAGTCCCTGTGCTCCTCAGAGTCCCAGTAGGAGGCCAGTCCCTGTGCTCCTCCGTTGGTTCATATGGCACTAACATGTCACAGATGTTCTTTGGTGCAAGGCCATGGAGAGAAAGTCTATTCTAATTCACAAACTATTCAAGTCATTTCAAGAGATTTGGCTATTTCGCAGTGAACGCAACACACACACACACACACACACACACACACGCAGACACACGCACACACACGTAGACACACACACACGCAGACACACACACACGCAGACACACACACACTTACAGTAAACACACATGGGGGATCCAGATGTGTCCCACAGCTGCACAGACCACTTCCTTCACACTCAGCTTTTTTTGATTTTCTCCTGAAGCTCTGATCCACTGAGCAACTTCCCTCACTTTCACTACACACACACACACACACACACACACACACACACACACACACACACACACACACACACACACACACACACACAAACTCCCACAGAGACACATACATACACACATGCTCCCACAGAGACACACGCACACACTTCCATAGAGACACACACACTCTCAGAGAGAAACACACTTACCCACATACAGTACACACACTCCCACAGAGACACACACACACACTAAGACTATAAACGACACATTACGAGAGGTTTAGAGCTTTACGTAGAGTGTGGAGCAGTGAGACACCAAAGAACTGAGACACATTTAAACAACACAACAATAATCCAACAGAAAATTGGTCAAAAAATCAGACCAAAACGTGCTGTCTCAATATTTGTACCTCTTGAAAACTTTTGAATTTTTTTATGAAAGATCCCAGTGAGTCACTATTTGACTCTTTGGGCTGAGAGCTGATTGGCTGAGTGAGGTCGAGTTTCACTTTTCTGTCTGAAAACGCTGATGCGTGTGTTTGTAGGAACTAGATATGTACATGAACTGTAAATAGTTATGTTTCTTGAGGTTTTAAAGTTAGGTACCCCAGCTTTAGAGTCATGCTTGAAACTTCTGCTGACTTTGCAAACTCTCCTTTCACCCCGGTCTCACCCCTGTCCCCCTCATTCACCTCAAAACCCGCTGATAAATGCATCGAGGTGGCGCCTGATCGGAACCCCTGCCCGGATACCGCCCAGATACAGCGCTGTGATTGGACGAGGCTGCGTAAATATTTAGAGCGGTTTTGGAACGGATCGATCAGTGCGCGGGGGGGAGGTGTGTGTGTGAGTGTTTGTGTGTGTGTGTGTGTGTGTGTGTGTGTGTGGGGTGTTGATGGGCCGACCCGCGTTTACCCCCGCCCTCCGGCCAATCACGGGCCAGCTCCGGCAGAGTGGTCAGCACCTGAGCCTGATGGACGCCGGGTCAGAAGAGTTCAGCAGGAAACTCAAGTGGAGGAAGTGATTAGAGACTTTTACATAACACCACGGTCACGAGAGCAGCGCCGAGCGGTCGTGTGGGTCGCTGTCGGCAACAGCGAGAAGGAGGACGCCATCTCTGTTTTTCAACCGAGATCATCAAAAACTTATATTGCCCCCTTTCACTCTGGAAGGAGGCAGTAGGACTACTCAGAACTGGGACTAAAAAAAAGCTTCTTCCCCCGGGCCATACGCCTCACAACACTTTGATAATAATAATAATGATAATAATAACAATGATGATGATGATAATAAAAATAATAAATCGAACTTAGCGGTTAGCAAATATAGAGCTTTTTAGGACACTCAAAGACACAAACAGGGGCAGATACAGATACAGAGACAAAAACAGAAAGAGGCAGAGACAGAGGCAGAGGCAGAGACAGAGACAGAGACAGAGGCAGAGACAGAGGCAGAGGCAGAGACAGAGGCAGAGACAGAGGCAGAGACAGAGGCAAAGACAGAGACAGAGACAGAGGCAGAGGCAGAGGCAGAGACAGAGACAGAGACAGAGGCAGAGACAGAGGCAAAGACAGAGACAGAGACAGAGGCAGAGGCAGAGGCAGAGACAGAGACAGAGGCAGAGGCAGAGGCAGAGGCAAAGACAGAGACAGAGACAGAGGCAGAGGCAGAGGCAGAGACAGAGGCAGAGACAGAGGCAGAGACAGAGGCAAAGACAGAGACAGAGACAGAGGCAGAGGCAGAGGCAGAGACAGAGACAGAGGCAGAGGCAGAGGCAGAGACAGAGGCAGAGACAGAGGCAGAGACAGAGGCAAAGACAGAGACAGAGGCAGAGGCAGAGGCAGAGACAGAGGCAGAGGCAGAGGCAGAGACAGAGGCAGAGACAGAGGCAAAGACAGAGACAGAGGCAGAGACAGAGGCAGAGACAGAGACAGAGACAGAGGCAGAGACAGAGGCAGAGGCAGAGACAGAGACAGAAAGAGACAGAAAGAGCCAGAGACAGAGAGAGACAGAGGCAGAGACAGAGACAGAAAGAGACAGAAAGAGACAGAGACAGAGAGAGACAGAGGCAGAGGCAGAGGCAGAGGCAGAGGCAGAGACAGAGGCAGAGGCAGAGGCAGAGGCAGAGACAGAGACAGAGGCAGAGGCAGAGGCAGAGGCAGAGGCAGATACAGATACAGAGGCAGAGGCAGAGGCAGAGACAGAGACAGAAAGAGACAGGGATGTATCCAGTGTATCAGTGGAGTCTTGGTTGTTGGGTTTGAGGATGACTCACAGAGACTGGCGTCACTCTCAGAAACATGCCTGAGTGTAAATGACACGGGAAAACAATTGGAATGCGGTAAAAGCTGTTGAAAGGATTCTCTGCAGACGAGTCATGGAGCTCCGTGTGCCACTGACGTCACGGACTAAGACTGTTTTCATTCACGAAAAACTCTCTCCGATCAGAAAGAGACTGCATTTCTTTTGTTTATTGACACAGCAGCACTGCCATCCAGCACAGACCTATAGATAGATACATACTGTACTGGTATGTTTTACTCTGCTGGTCTCTCTCTGGTCGCTCTCTGGTCGCTCTCTCTGGTCTCTCTCTTGTTGGTGTTTCTTTCTGGTGTTTCTCTCGACTCTGTTCTCTCTCTCTCTGGTCTCTCTCTCAGGTCTCTTTCTGGTCTCACTGGTCACTCTCTGGTCTCTCTCTGGTCGCTCTTGGGTCTCTTTCTCTGGTCTCTCTCTCTGGTGTTTCTCTCTCGTCTCTCTCTCTCTCTGGTCTCTTTCTCAGGTCTCTCTCTGGTCTCTCTCTGGTCATTCTTTGGTTGCTCTTTGGTCTCTTTCTCTGGTCTCTCTCTCTGGTCTCTCTCTCTCTCTGGTGTTCCTCGCTCCGGTCTCGGTCTCATTGGTCTCTCTCTGGTCTCTCTCTCTCGTGTTTTCTCTCTGGTCTCTATCTGGTCACTCTCTCTCTGGTGTTGCTCTCTGGTCTCTCTCTCATCTCTCTGCTCTCCCTTTGCTCTCTTTCTCTGCTCTCCCTCTGCTCTCTGGACTCTCTCTCTCTGGTCTTTCTCCTTTCTTTGACTGTGATGTCACCAAACCACAGTCGCAGAACCAACAAGCAAACCTTCAATGGTGCAGCAATAAAAGTGAAGCAAAAACATAGGAGTTTGCGGTGAATTCTCTAAGTTTCCGCAGAAAGAAGACACAATGACGAGCTTTCATAACGACCTGGTTTGTGTTTTTGTCCCATCCCAAAATCATAACTCAATCTGAACCTGGGAATGATCCATAACAACATGTGAAGACTTTTACGGCTATAATCAAAGAAAAAGTTCACACGTTTTGGTTTAGTTTAGTCCTGATGTCCTGGTTCTCAATTTCTAAAAGCAGAGATGGATGGTGCTGTGAGAGGCCGGAGTATCTGATGGAGGTGTCCGGAGGATGGATGAAGAGCCGGAAGCAGAGAGCACTGTTGGGTAAATACAGGGGCTCATGGAGAGGGGAGAGGGTTGTCCCGAGGTCAGGGGGGGAGGCAGATCCTGCGACATGTTTTCAGATGGTTAAGGCTGCTGTTAAAGCTGAGGTACGTAACTTTTGTCTTTCAGAAATTATCCGTGTTTGTTGAAACGGAAGGAGTAAAATGTGAACAGTCATCTTTTGAGTGAAAAAGAGGCCAGTGAGAAACCAGAGAGAGACATGTCAGAAACCAGAGAGAGACATGTGAGAAACCAAAGAGAGACATGTGAGAAACCAAAGAGAGACATGTGAGAAACCAGAGGGAGACATGTGAGAAACCAGAGAGAGACATGTGAGAAACCAGAGGGAGACATGTGAGAAACCAGAGAGAGACATGTGAGAAACCAGAGAGAGACATGTGAGAAACCAGAGAGAGACATGTGAGAAACCAGAGAGAGACATGTGAGAAACCAGAGAGAGACTTGTGAGAAACCAGAGAGAGACATGTGAGAAACCAGAGAGAGACATGTGAGAAACCAGAGGGAGACATGTGAGAAACCAGAGAGAGACATGTGAGAAACCAGAGAGAGACATGTGAGAAACCAGAGAGAGACCCTATGAGTCACTGTTTGACTCTTTGGGCTGAGAGCTGATTGGCTGAGTGAGGGTGGTCCTCTCTTT